TTTCTAAAACAAGAACGTGAGCATGGTATGTTGTTCTACTACTTAATGGGATGTTGTGCAGATTGCTTCTTCACTCCCATACTCATTCTCTGCCCCTTTTGCCATGTAGAGTCTCACGAGGGCCCCTTGCTCTTTGGTTTGTGATCAGATTTGGCCAATAGTAGGCATGGGGACATCAGAAAGCAGGAGGAGAGAAGTTAGGGTGTTTATCCTTCGGCTCCTGCCACACCTCTTGACTGCTGGTCCTGTTCCCTAGACTTTTCCTTCATGTCCACCGTGGGAAGGGCTGCCCTCTGTTGCTGCTACCTGAGCACCTCAACAGACACCTTTTATTCCCTCGATCTTGCCCACTCCTTTGCAAATAGTCCCTTAATGAACTTCTCTTCGGTTAAACTCTTGAGTAGAATCTATTTCCCAGCTGGACCCTGATACAAATAAAAGAGAAACAGAGAGACTTTTATTTTATGGCCTTCTAAACACTTAAAATTAGCCGTAATTGATCCCTGAAATGATAGTTACCTACCCAATATTTTAAAATTAGTCTCCTAGGATGCCTGGGTGGCTCCGTTGGATAAGTGTCCCACTGCAGCTCAGGTCATGATCTCACGGTGCATGTGCTCGAGCCACGCATCGGGCTCTGTGCTGACAGCTCAGAGCCTGGAGCCTGCTTCAGATTCTGTGTGTGTGTGTCTCTCTCTGCCCCTCCCCTGCTCTCTCTCTCTCTCTCTCAAAAATAAATAAATCATTAAAAAATTAAAATTAATTTCCCCAATTTTACTTAATTAGTTCTGTCTCAAAGTTACTCGGAAAATATTAAGAACAAATGTATCTGAAGAATTACAATAGGGGCACCTGGGTGGTTCAGTCGGATAAGTGTCCGACTTCAGCTCAGATGATCTCACGTTGTTGAGTTCGAGCCCTGTGTCCAGCTCTGGGCTGACAGCGTGAAGCTCAGAAGCTGGAGCCTGCTTCAGATTCTGTGTGTGTCTCTCTCTCTCTGTTCCTCCCCGGCTGTCTCTCTTTCTCTCTCATAAATAAAGAAACATTAAAAAAAAAAAAAAGAGTAACAATACTCTTCATTGTGGTTTTTGATCCTTTGGCATAAAAGTTTTGGAAGGTGATTTTATCACCTGGGTTATTTGAGTTTTTTTGTTTTTGTTTTTGGTTTATTTTGCCTTGTTACTTTTCTATCTCAAACAACAAAGCAGGGGCTTGCAGGAAAAACAAACAACTCAAATCCTAGGAGTCTTCAAAAGATAACCCAGTACATAGTAACAGGACATAACTAATCTTTCCAAAAGACAAAAATCCAGCAGTTACCAAATACATTCCAAAAAACCCTACTGGAGTATTTAACTTTCCTGGGACAAAGATACATCTTTTATAGATAATTTTTGAACACATATTACAGGAAACGAAAAGTGAACACTAAAAAGTCATTCCATTTCTCTCATGTGTAGAGAGTGTTTCAATTAGGAAAACTCAGGATTATCAGTTGATTAAAAATTTTTTTAAGTTCCTATATTTACTCCTTTTATCACTTTATTTATCTCTTCTACTATTTTATATTATATTACTTTATCTCTGCATTACTTTTATTATTCCCATCTTTCTAATTTCTTTGGTTTATTTAGCTCTTTTTAAGGTTTCCCCAAAATGAGTACTACATTCTTTGATCTGATCTTTGTTAAAAAAAATTTTTTTTATATTTATTTATTTCTGAGACAGAGAGAGACAGAGTGTGAGTTGGGGAGGGGCAGAGGGAGAGGGAGACACAGAATCAGAAGCGGGCTCCAGGCTCCGAGCTGTCAGCACAGAGCCCGACGCGGGGCTCGAACTCACAAACCGCTAGACCATGGCCTGAGCCACAGTCGGTTGCTCAACCGACTGAGCCACCCAGGCGCCCCTAAAGTTAAGATTTACCGAGTACAGTTTCTCCCCCTTACCCCTGTATTTTCATTATAAAACATCACTATTCTATTTGTTTCTGTGTATTTATTTTTTAAGTTTATTTTTGAGAAGGATAGAGAAAGGGAGGGACAGAGAGGGAGAGAGAGAATCCCAGGCAGGCTCTGCTCCATCAGCATGGTACCTGATGCAGGGCTCGAACCCATGAGCTGTGAGACTATGTCCTGAGCCAAAAAGCGAGAGTTGGACACTGAATCGACTGAGCCACCCAGGCGCCCTATTTTACTTGCTTTTTAAATAGTATGTAACTTTCTTTTTATTTCTATTTTTATTTGTAGATCCAAATGCATTTTCTTAATTTTACCATGGATATATTTTATCATTTTATTTACTTTTAATTTTACTAGATTATTACCAAAGAAGGTGGCCTTTCTATACTTCTTTTTAAGATGACTTTTTTTTTTTAATTTTTTTTAACGTTTATTTATTTTTGAGACAGAGAGAGACAGAGCATGAATGGGGGAGGGGCAGAGAGAGAGGGAGACACAGAATCCGAAACGGGCTCCAGGCTCTGAGCTGTCAGCACAGAGCCCGATGCGGGGCTCGAACTCACGGACCACGAGATCATGACCTGAGCCGAAGTCGGCCGCTTAACCGACTGAGCCACCCAGGCGCCCCATAAGATGACTTTTTTTTTTTTGAGAGAGAGAGATAGAGAGAGAGAGAGGAAGCATGACTGGGGTGGGGTGGGGTGGGGGAGCAAAGAGAGGGGAGAGATTCAGAATCCCAAGCAGGCTCCATGCTTTCAGTGCAGAGCCCAATGTGGGGCTCGATCTCATGAACCATGAGATCATGACCTGAGATGAAATCAAGAATCAGATGCTTAACTGACTGATGCACCCGGGCATCCCTCTGTACTTTCTAATTTTTAGGATTGTCTTTACTGCCCTATAGCTGATCAAGTCTTCTAAGTTTTCCTGGACATATATAACAAATGTATACTATCATTCAATGGATCTAACTTTTTAGATATAGTTATTACATTGGTTTGTCGATTATGTATTCCAATTTTACGTGTCTTTCTCTTCCTGAATTCTGTCTGATTCTGCACATTGAAATGTTCACAACGGTATTTTTCATCAATTTCTCTGTTCATTCTTAATAATTTTTATTTTAATATTCAGGTATTATTCTGTTTGGTACGTCATGTTCACTATATGTTAGTATGAGTTTATCACATCCTTGTAAGCAAAAACATTTTCACTAGATAATTCCTCTTTGACCTTGCCTAATGTTCCTGCATAAAATTCCACTTCATCTCACAAATTCTTCCCAATCCTAGTTTGTATTGATTATAATTGCTGTTACTACTCTGTTCCTTGAACTTCAACATTTGTTTCATTAATATAAATATGTCCCTTATCAACATCACATAACTATCTTATCCTTATTACAAACTTTTTATTCTTTTCAAAGAATTCACAGTGTGCTCACCTGTAGGGCTAGACTAATATACTTGATTCATCCCTCCTGTGTCAACTTGTTTGCCTCTTATTTTACTTCTCTTCCTTCTTTTTTTCCATACCTTCTGTGTATTGAAGGTTATTCCCTCTCCTAAGCTCATAAGAGAATGTTTCTCTATTATCATATGAAAAATATGATATCAAATATCAACTCTCTCCCAAGACACACTATTTTATCTCTATTTTCCTCTAACAAAGGGAGTACATGTGCCTCAAATATTAATTAAATATAAGTCAGACTACAACTACCCCTATAAGAGAAATGCATTTATTGACTGAGAGATAAGTAATGAGGCTACATTCTAAAATATAAAATACAGATAACAAGGATACTATAAATCATGCATCTTATTTGAGAAATTTTATTGAGGGGATTCAAATGGGTTTAAATAAATCTGGATATTCATGATGATGTTATCCTAAGAGTAGTGGTATTATAAAAATTGTAGAGAAAGTGAACTAATGTGTAAAGTTAATGGTTTCAAGATAAGTATGCTATCTTATTCTTATATCTTCCTTTTATTTATTTTTTTTCAACGTTTATTTATTTTTGGGACAGTGAGAGACAGAGCATGAATGGGGAGGGGCAGAGAGAGAGGGAGACAGAATCAGAAACAGGGTCCAGGCTCTGAGCCATCAGCCCAGAGCCTGACGCGGGGCTCGAACTCACGGACCGCGAGATCGTGACCTGGCTGAAGTCGGACGCTTAACCGAGTGCGCTACCCAGGCGCCCCTATATATCTTCCTTTTAAATAGCAAACCTTGATGGGTATTCAAGGAGACTTTATTTTTTTTAATTAAGAAATGAAATGCTCCACTGATTTCTGATATAGAAATTACCAGTGTGATATATGTTTTAATGATTTCATTTTTAGCTTTTTGTGGGATTTTATTAAACTAAGTCAAGAGAATTTTATGATTTATTAAAGTGAAGCTCATTTCAATTCACAGCACTTTTATTCCTAAGCCTCAACCACTATGGTTGAAAATATATATAATTAGGAGGAGATGAAGAAATTTTAAAATATTCTGTCGAGGTTAATATGCAAATTCAAGGTGGCTACATATAGAAATACAAGGGGCTACTGCAGAGTACTATAGCATAATACTAAGTAGTTAGTACTGCATATATTACATTGATTCTTTCTATTTTGTTGCATAGCTGTTGTACTGTTTATGAACTCTACCAACAATGATCTGTGTATGTAAAGCATTCACAGTAAATTTCAAACACTGTACTGGTTAAACAAATATATGGTGAGTTCATTCAATGTGATAGTCTAGCTAGATGCCAAAAAGGATATCAGAAAATTGGTGAGAATCCCCACTCTGTCAGTAATTTGTGAGAAATCTAGATTCAATTGCTGATTTAAGAGAGACTATAATCTAACATGAGTTGGGATGGGTAATGTGGGAAGGAATTAGATGAGAGTGGAGTGAAATGGATAAAACATGTACAAACACAGGTTGAAGTCCTCTTAGATATAGCTTTTTATGTTAATTATATTATAATAAAGTATACTCTTATATTTTAAAATTGTCTTCAAGCATCATTGTCATTTGACTTACTTTCACTTGTGGAATAATCCTGTGGGTCAAGTATTCCTGATTCCTGCAAGGATCTAATACAGGAGTCCACCAGCTCAAGACCTGTTGTAAGTTCATCTTCGATGTCTTTTTGACCATCTGAAACACAACATTTTAAAGTGATGAACAAACACATGATGCTCTTATTATTAAAGCTTCAGGTTACTCTTTAATAATGGAAAGTATCCTAACCAAAGACATTATCTTATGACGTTCTCATTAGATTTCGCATTGTAATCCTTGGCCAACCAGTATCAAAAGCCAAGGCCAGCCAATTCCAGGTATCCATGAAAAACCCAAAGGTTTCTAGGGAATTGAGAGAACTCAACTCTCAGGGAATCACGAGCTATCACAGGAACATTTAATTTTAGTGTCATGGTGTTCTCATACTCATTTTTATCAGTCTTCTTTCTAAAGTTCACAAGAATATTAATCAGTAGACATACATGTAGAAATGGATGTAAGTTTCATCAAGAAGCTGTACTTTACCTTGTGATTGCCAGTGAAACTGCTCTTCTGCTGAACTGTAAAAAAGAGAATACACAGATATAATGCACCGGTTAGAAACCAAGGACCCTAGACTAGGAGACACAAAGATGCATTGGAGTAGCCATGGTGGCTCCACGGTGTGTCCTTTAGATTTTTACTGAGAAAAAAGATCCCATTTTGATACAATCTTAACTGTAATCCATTTGATGTAGATCTCTTTTGATTCACAGGTACTAGCGTGTTATAAATGGACACTGTTCACTAATTTTCAGAGAACAGCTCCTTTTTTTTTTTTTTTTTTTACAAAGCCCAACCTATTATACTCCTCTCTTGCAACAGCTTTTACATAGATGCAGTCCTACCCAATTTTAGTTATTTTAAAATACGAGTCTGACTAGTTTCATATAGACTTTGTGAGACTGTCTAGGAAAGAAATAACCTCCTTTTGCATTATAAAGAAGGCTCGATAAATTTATTCCTTCTTCTAGACATATCACATGAGCAGTTCCTTTCAGCTGATTATTAGTTCAAATTAAGTCATTTACAAATTATAACACTTTGCCACCACTGAATATACAGTCCCGATTTCTCGCTTTACAAATACATCTTATAAGACGACCTAGGGAGAAAGTGTTGTTCATATACACGATGTGCCAAAGACAATGTGCAGAGTTCATCTATGAAGGCGACATAGGTTAATTTTGAATGATTTATTAAATATATAAATAAATTTAAAAGGTCTACATGTGCATAACTCTTTCATTACACATGCAAATACTTTCTACATGCCCCTTTTTATATGTCAATGATTGGTACGAAATCTAGATGCCAATTACAGACAGGTATCATTTTGAGAATGATTTTCTACACTTATTTCACTAAATCTTTTACTCTGATCCAGCAGCTTCTATGAATAGTTCATCAGTTGCACAACAGCAAGTGGATTTTAGACCTTTAATCTGTACCTTAGAGGGGGCTTCTGGATATATTTACAGAGGGAAAAGGAAAGGGAATTCTGGTATGAATCAGTGTTCAGAAAAGCTGCGATTGGTATACATGAACACAAGAATAGTATCTTAAGGGACATGTGACTGTTTCCTGGGCATCTTGCTCCCTGACCAATCCATTTTATCAAACTGGAAAACAGTTGCACAATGGTGAAAACCATACACACAACTGATACATGAAATGATAACTTTACAAATTCAGTCCAATGCAACTTTTGCTTATTTCAAAAAGGTATGTGCCATATAGTGGTAATATGTTATCTATAAAGTTCCACACTTAAAACAGAAAAGTAATCCTAAGGTCAATATTTTAAAAGTTGCATGCACTGGTTCAGTTAGTAGCATTTTATTTTATTGTTTTAATAAATTTAAGTGTATGTATGTATGTATTTATTTATTTATTTATTTTTTTTTTGAGAAGACAGAGAGAGAGAGAGAAGGGGAGGGGCAGAGAGAGAGAGAGAGACAGACAGAATCTCAAGCAGGCTCTGCACTGACAGCATGGAGCCTGATGTGGGCTTGAACTCATGAACTGTGAGATCATGACCTGAGCCAAAACCAAGAGTGAGAGGCTTAACCAACTGAGGTATCCAGGTGCCCCAGTAAGTGCGATTTTAAATAGGAATAAAAAAAATGCTTTCATAGTTGTAGTAAGTTGAATGGTGCCCCTCACCCCCAGGAGATATGTCCACATTAAATCTCTAGAAACTGTATATGACTACTAATGGAAAGCGCTTTTGAAAAAATATTTTTTAATGCTTATTTATTTTTAAGAGAGAGAGAGACACACACACACAGAATGTGAGTGGAGAAGGGGCAGAGAGAGAGAGGGAGACACAGAATCTGAAGCAGGCTCCAGGCTCTGACTTGTCAGCATAGAGCCCGACGCCGGGCTCGAACTCACGAATCGTGAGATCATGACCTGAGCCGAAGTTGGACCCTTAACCAACTGAGCCACCCAGGCGCCCGGGAAAAAGTGTTTTAGTAGATGTTTAAATTAAGGGAAAGGTCTTCAGATGGGATCATCCCAAATCCCATGATAACTGTCCTTACAAGAGACACACAGAAGACAAGGTTATATGAAAAAGGATGAAGAGACTGACATTAGGCATCTACAAGCCAAGGAATGCCTGGAGCCATCAGAGCCTAGAAGAAATAAGGAAGGATCCTCCTCCCGAGCCTTTATCGAGACCACAGCCCTGCTGACACCTTGATTTTGAACTTACAGCCTCCAAAGAGTTTGAGAGAATACATTTCTTTTGTTTTAAGCCACTCAGCTGTGATCACTTGTTATGGCGGCCCCAGGAAACTGATAACAATATTTTTCTGGTACAATAAAGATGGTCTCATGTTAACCCTCTAGGATTTACTACTATCACTATGCTGCTATGTTTCTTTTGTCAGTATCACCCTTTACTAAGTGCTTACTGTATACCTTGGCTCCTCTGATTCCTGTCAACCACAATGGTCGTTTTGGGAGATGGCGAAAACGGGCTTATTTGGCGTTAGATAACTTGACCACACGGATCATAAGGAACTCAACAAGGATTTAAATTAATCCGCCAAACTCCAAAGCTCATATTTCTAACTCACAATAAAACGTTGTGGAGGGAAACACACACTCAAGTGGCTTCCCACCGGAAACAGTACGAATAAGTCAACAGAAGTCATTGCATTCACCACTCCTCTCCTCGCAGGCGCAGCGAAGGGCGCACTTTATGCGCCTTTGCACGTAGATGGCGCCACCTGAGAGGAAGGGACAAGTGCCACTTCCTACCCCAAGCACAGAAGGGCAGGCACGAGATTTTCATGCTCTCTCTCTCTCTCTCTCTCTCTCTCTCTCTCTCTCTCTCTCTCCTAATCCCCCACTGAGATGGGTCCCTGAGTAGGAGGGAGGAAGATTTCTGCCAACCCAGAGAAGACACAGCACGAGTGAGAAATAAACCACTGTTGTGTGAAAACGCTGGAGCCGGAGGGGGGTTTGTTTCTGTTGAATAAATGTCACACTGAGTAATAGAGAAATGTGGCAGTGTTTGAGTTTGTAAGGTGTTTCTTGCTTCTCTATCTTACATTTCCGCCGTGGAGCGCTGGGAGAAAATGTCTTGGGTCACTCTACCACAAATAAGGTGGTGTGACAGCTTTTACTCATCCTGTGAGATGTATCTGCTCATGTACAATAACGGGTGATTTTATGTGTCAGACCACACATCAGAGTTTCCTATAATATTTACTTTTTGTTCATCTCTTTCAAAAGTGTTTCAATTTGATGATGCAACAGAAACAAGATGAGACATTTTTTCCCCTTACATTTGAAAGAATGCGGTTCGCAGTGAATATGAAACTATTCCTCTCAAAGCAGAGGAAGCTTCCTTTTCGCCAGATAAAGAGCATCAATCATTTAAAATCCTGATTCCTTTAGCACAGTTAAAATGCATTAAAAGTATGACTGATCACAGAAAATAGAAGTCCCAAGAGAGACCTGGTTTGGATTTTATTTCCATTAAGTGCTCACTTGACTCTCTGTTAGGGGATTCTATGCAATTGTATATCTTATATACTTGATTTCTTCTCCTAAAAGCTGCTTTTAGGTGGATGCTTTTTTAAAAAAGCAAACAAACTATTTATTCATCCGATAAACACAGATTATGCCTGCGTCTCACACATTCTTACTTCAAGTGTTTGGATATTATTCATGGTGAACTTTCTCCCAATTATATCATTCAATTTAGTATAATATAAAAGTTATTTCTGAAACACTTGTAACTTCCATGCATGTTCAATTTTAGAAACTAAAGTTTGCTTTCACTACCAAAATGCTCTTTTTTCAAATAGAAGTAATCTGTAAAGAACTAAATTTAATAAAGATATAGACATAATTTAGATTAGCCAGTGTGTATTTAAACATAAAACTATGTGCCAGTTCCAGAACCCAATTATTGTGAGAAAAATACATATTTGTAACAAAGATGACCTAACATTTAACCTTTAAATGTATACAGAAATACGTCCATAAATCAGTAGTGCTAGTAAAGAGTTTAAAAACAATATATTAAAAGCACAACTCCTAATAGCTAACACATACCTCTAGCTTTCTACCAGGCAATATTCTAGTTGATTTACAGTTAATTTCCAAGACAACAGTTTTGAGACAGGTACTATTTTCCCATTTTACAGATAATGAAACTGAGGTAAAAAGATGTTCAGGAACTTGCTGGTGGTCCCGCATCCAGCAAGCAGTGGAGGGAGAATTACGACCCTGGGTCTCTTGCTTCTAGAGGCCACGTTCTGAACTACCATTCTTGTTTTTAATTTTTTTTTTCAATGTTTATTTATTTTTGGGACAGAGAGAGACAGAGCATGAACGGGGGAGGGGCAGAGAGAGAGGGAGACACAGAATCGGAAACAGGCTCCAGGCTCCGAGCCATCAGCCCAGAGCCCGACGCGGGGCTCGAACTCACGGACCGCGAGATCGTGACCTGGCTGAAGTCGGACGCTTAACCGACTGCGCCACCCAGGCGCCCCTGAACTACCATTCTATTCGCACATTTAGCGACATCAAAATTACACCCCTATGTGATAAAAGCAAAAACATAAACATAAAACCGTAAACTAAGTTGAAAAAACAAGCCATGTCCTGGGAGAAGATATTGGCAGCGCAGATAACTTACAAATATTGAAATTAAAATTACAAATATTAAAATTAAAAATATTAAAATATTAAAATTAAAAATTTAAGATAAAGATTAAAAAGGTCAAACAAAAGCAAGGTCAATATGTATACATATAGCTGATGCACAGTAGAAAAAAATCTAGAATGTATGGTTACTGAACATATTAAAAGATACTCAAGCCTATTAGCAATTGAAAGAATAAAAACCAAACACAGGCCAATTCTTTACACTCCACAGGCTGTCAAACAATTAGACAGTCTGACAATATTATGTGCTGGAGAGAAGATGGGGAACAAGAACTCTCATACGTTGCACGTGAGAATAAACCAGTCACGTCGGTGACAATGAGGCAATACT